TTTTCTTCATTACCCATTCAAGTCGTCTCCAGCCATTATTAGTCTCAAAGTGGGTTCCTCGTCATCGAATTAGTTTTAATTAGTTTAAAATATGTCATCACAAAGACTAAAGAGTGAAATTCTACAACAATCTCATATTAATCATTACAAAATAAATCTTAAATAAAAATTCATTTCAAATTCATAAAAATTTATTCACAAGTTCACAAAACTTAAAAACAACAACATTGAAATAAATAACATACTACAAATTTCCTTCCTCTGAGTAGAGGTTTCTCAACAGTCTTAGTGCTTTCTGCACGAATAGCCTCAAACTTGGCTCTAAGGTTCTTGGTTATGTCGATTTCTGGTAAACCCTCATCATCTGGTACTTTATTCTCTCTTTCAACTTCAACATCCCAGTGTTCAAACTTGGCTTTCAGACTTCTGGCCTGGTCAGCTTTCCATGTCATGTCATCTTCTACTTTGTATGTGCAGCGAATGACATCAGGATCATGCTGTGGCTCTGGTGAGGGTTCGTGTTTTTCTACTATGTGGATGTTTTCTCTTGGAGGAGTGATCTTCTTCAAAGGATTAGGAACACTTTGAACAGGTGATCCAGCACCTTGATTCTCCAGTTGTTTAAATTTGTCCAACATTCGTTTTGCTGTATCTGTTATCATAACTTCTTCTTGGACATCAGAAGCTCGAATTACCTTTGGGTCTCTAGGAACTTCATCATCACCATCATCACACTTTAACTGAGATTTTGATTCCTTGTAGTTTTCAAAATAATTAAACCGTTCCTGAAGTTCAACTGGTACTACATCAGCTTGTTCTTTGATACCTGGCTCACTGCACTTAACTACTTCTCCAGAGGTGGAAGTGGTGCTAGCACCATAAATCAGCTTATGAGAATGCCCATGAGAAGGCCTACCAGGAAGGAGAGAGGTTGTAGTTGTGCCAACAGCATCAAATTGCTTGAAAAGTGTTCGAGCTCCTGCAACACTGTCTCCTGTAATTCAGGTTTATATTAATAAAAAAAAACTGTACATCATATGGAAACATTAAAGAACACATCCATTTACAACAAATTTATAAAAGGTTTTTATGATACTAAGAGTTTCTACAGTACCCAGTGAACTTTTATAATAGCATACCGATCCAAATTAATCTTTTATTTCCTAATCAGTGAGTGGATCCTGTAAATGTATTCAAGAAAATTCAAAGGAACAAGAGTATATGCAAATTTTATCCCCGCTCTGCCTATATACATTCAACTTTTGATAAAAAAGCCACAAAACGTTTAAGTAATTTCTTTTATAATAGACATGAAACAAATGAAGTTGTTGTTGTTAAGCACAAACCTACACAAAGGGCTATCTGTGCTCTGCCCACGCAGGTATGAAACCCAGGTTTCTAGCCATTTTATTCTGCAGACATACCACTGTGCCACTGGGGGGCAACAAATTAAGAGAAGGTAACACTAAATTAGATGTTGCAGTTTTTCATTTAAAATTATATTCAACCTACGATTCTTTCACAAACAAATTTTTCCTTGCTTCTTTTGAGAAGCTGTGAACCAAAGGATGGTTCACTGGGTCCTATTTAGACTAAATAACAAGTCTGCTGAGTAAATAAATAAATAACACTGAGTACATATTATGTACATCAATTACAATCCACGACTTTCACTCTATAGTAAAAGAACGAAGAGTTTTTCATTTGTTTGATGAATATCTAGAAAGACAAGAAAAAAAATTCAGAGTAGTATAATTAAAACTAACAGTTAACAAGTTTTCAGGTTCGTGAACAATACAATACCAAAGATTAAAGCTAACTTTACACATGGTACACAAAGTAACCCATTAAGTTTCTAAAGCTAACTTACACATGGTGCACAATGTAACCCATTGAGTTTCTAAAGCTAACTTACACATGGTGCACAATGTAACCCATTGAGTTTCTAAAGCTAACTTACACATGGTGCACAATGTAACCCATTGAGTTTCTAAAGCTAACTTACACATGGTGCACAATGTAACCCATTGAGTTTCTAAAGCTAACTTACACATGGTGCACAATGTAACCCATTGAGTTTCTAAAGCTAACTTACACATGGTACACAATGTAACCCATTGAGTTTCTAAAGCTAACTTACACATGGTGCACAATGAAACCCATTGAGTTTCTAAAGCAAACTTACACATGGACACAATGTAACCCATTGAGTTTCTAAAGCTAACTTACACATGGTGCACAATGTAACCCATTGAGTTTCTAAAGCTAACTTACACATGGTACACAATGTAACCCATTAAATTTCTAAAGCTAACTTACACATGGTACACAATGTAACCCATTAAGTTTCTAAAGCTAACTTACACATGGTACACAATGTAACCCATTAAGTTTCTAAAG